TGAGGGCCACCAATACTTGTTGCCACTCAAAGCTGCTGCCGTCTGTGTGGATGACAAATTGGCTGATATATAAGCTTTAAATTAAGCCTTCATCAGTAATAGTTAATTAACCGTTAATAAATCTAGTTATAAATACACTTTGTCACAATTAGGCTGATCTGACACAACCCTAAACAGTTTTCCCAAAGCACAGCTGAGTAGCGCCACCTCTTGTTCACCATCCCAACCAGCAGCTGTGGAGCTCATTTACAAGAATGCATGCTTATTTTCAGGCGCCTAATTATAATGGAGAATGTGCTTTAAGCAGCAGGCCACCAGATGAAGAGGAAGAGGAAGACATGCCAAATCAAGCACTCCATCTGTAATTATGCTTCACAGGCGCTTTGGCAAAACGCTCAAGATTTTGCACTACCCAGAGTGCACGCAGGCCAGCAGACAAGGGAAGAAGGCAGGAGGGGGAGCAAAGTTTTTCCACTTTGAGCCAACTAATTGCTTCATTATTCCCTAATAAGTCATTTGAAGGCCCTCGCTTTTGTTTTTTTCTAAAGGTAACACCTCTGACACATGCAGACCCAGCACCAGCCTGAGAGCATGCAAAGGATATTAAAGCCAGTCAGGCAACAAACAAGAACAGCACAGACAGCTGAGCCTGTCAGCTTCAATAATAAGAGTCTGAAATATTAGAGCGGGGAGCAGATGTTGAAATGAGCAAAAGGTCGCACTGTGGGAAAAGGAATCACGTCTTAGTCACATAAAGATCAGGAAAAAATATGACTAAGTTTTGTGCTAATTTAGCCATTTATTTATCCAAACAGTCAGCTTAATCTGAAGTGGAGCGAATCTACATGTAGTTTTTGTAACATTTATATATTTTTTAAAATATTTAAAAACATTTGTTTTCTTTCAAATCTGATATGGCATACTTGCTCTTCTTTTGTCTTTTTATGCTACGTTTAATTTTTCTCTACCATTCTCCTATGTTTAGCTCACCTTTTGCAACGTCAATTATTTAGCTACTACTCTATATTTAGCTATCGTTTCGCCACTTTTAGCCAGCCTTTTTATTATTAGCTGCCCTCTGATACTTTTGGCTAACTATGTAATTTAATTACATCTTGTTAGGGGTGCACCGATTGCAGTTTTCTGGCCGATCACCGATTAAAAAAACCTCTGACCTGCCGATTCTAATTTTGGCTGATACCAATTTTATTTTATAAGCAACACTCTCAGGTGTTATAAGGTCACAATGCACCTTCAATTTTCCAATCTTGTTCTATTGAAAAACATATCCTTGAACAATATCCTAGAAACAATACAACTATATCTTGTTATTATTTTTCCTCTAATTGCTGCCTTTTACTGTTAAGAATTTTGTTATCATCTGCTGTTTTAAATATGCTTTATAAATAAATTTGACTTGTCTAATGGTTTGCTATTTTTAGCTTTTAGTTAGCATCTTGTAGGTTTTGCCTTTTTCTCTCTTTTTAACTAGTGTTTTGATATTTATGGTTTTTAGCTTGTGTTTTTCTTTATTTTTAACTTTGAGCTAGTATTTTTTTTGTCATCTTTTTTGACTATTAGCTGTAGTTCTGCTATATTTTTTAGCTTTATCACCTCAGTTACAGCTTCCTCAGCAAAAGTCATTCAGCACTCAGAATTCAGTTTTGTCACGGAAAAAAACATTTTTTGGGACCCTGAGTACACAATTTCATTCCACCTCGTGTACTACATGTGATGCGAATGACAAGGAAGATACTTGAACTTGAACTTATAGTTGTATTCTCATACATATTGCAAAAGACCCTCATGAGCAACTCTAAATGAGAGCAAGAAATGTGAAAAGTGATTAAACCCCAGGTGGATTTGGTTTACTGAGCTCAAAGTAATGTTGAGGAAAAAAACATCAGCTGAAAAAAGAAGTCCATGTTTTCATCTTAAATGCCTGCTTTACATCAACCAGTTCTTGTCTTGCTCTGCATGAAATAGCTGAGGCACTGTTGGTTTGCATCTGTGATATGTGTGTCCCAACCATATATAGATTCATCAGGTTACACCGTTTTCATATATGAAGCAAACATTATATTAATTGCTGCTTTCACAATTCTACAGTCCTTGAAACAATGTAAGGGAAATTTCTTTAACAATGACAAATATGCATACCGGCATATTATAGAATACTCAATTGACGTAATGGTAAATAGCACATTTTTAACCTTTGCAGGTTCTGCAAAGCACTTTACACATTTCTCATTCATCCAGTACTTTCATGTATAAATGTTTACACATTATACACAGAGATATGTTATTATCTCACTCGTGAATGTCTTGGACTGCAGGGGCTGGGGATCTAACTCTCGACTGATTGGAGGACAACCAACCTCACTGGTCCAAGCTGCTTATAATGGACCATATTACCGGTAAGTTAGTGTCTAAAAGTCTAATAAAATCAAAACAAGAGAGAACTGGCAGTTCATTTTTATTTATTGCATTTATCTTTCGGCTGCTCCCTTCTTCAGGGGTCGCCACAGCGAACGAACTCGCACGAAGACTTGGCAAGTATTTTCATGCCGCATGTGCTTCCTGACGCAACCACAGACCACCAAGCTACCACAGCCCTCTGTGTGGAGCAGAGAGCTGCTGCAGGGCACCCAGGGGAGCAGATGGTGGGGGTTAAGGGCCTTGCTCAAGGGCCCAGAGTGTGGCACATGAGGGTTGAGGCAGGTGTGGGTGCTGATCTTGTCGGTCCAGGGGATTAAACCGGCGACCTTCCGATCACAGGTTCACCTTCTCTAACCTCTGCGCCACCACTCCTCCTAAACTAAACTAACAGTAACTAAACTGGCATCTCATACATCTCCTATTTACACATCTAGAATTTTTTTTATTAAAAAGTCAGTCTCCTTTTCTCCATTACATGTGACCATGGCTGCATTGTGTGTACTCAAAATTAGGGAAAGTGGAACCGCAGAGAAAAGAAGATAAGCCATGCTTAAATCCACCGCGGGTGAACAGTATCTGAAAGCCATGTCTTTAGTGCCAAGTTTTCAGCTAACAATCCGTTAGAAATCACATTGTTGCTACTATAATATGATTTAATGTTTTTAAAAAAATTGATTATCTGATATTTTTTATGGATTCAACAAAAAATAAATAAAGAGAATGTGTGTTTGTGACAGGACAGTAAATGCTTAAAAATATGATTTGAAATACGATTAAAAAAAAAAAGAATATGTTATATTTTGACACAACACTGATTTTATCCCTTGAGTTTAGTTTTTTTTTTTTTTTATCGGAATCTGGAATAATTCACAAGTCAGTTACACTTGACATAAAAAGTTAGGTGGGCACGTTTACAAAAATTTATAAGTGCTCCTTGCAGCCAACTGTAAAGGAAATTGGGGAGGACTCTAGACTTTTACACAGTACTGTCACGGTAGGACCCAGATGCAGGCAGACACGGAGAGCTCGAAGTAAAAATAAAAATGATTTATTCTTTTAAGTAAATGAAAACAAAGGTCGATGTGGTAAAAAACATACAAAAACTCCAGAGGGAAAACACACAGGGAAACATGAGGGAGCACGAGGAGGACCCAGACATCTGCAATGATTACAGGATAATGAGACACTGGTGAGGTGGAGACAAGGAACGGTATAAATATAAAACAAAGTGAGGCTGAAAGTGGGAACACCTAGGATGAATGTTGAGTGGGGACAGGTGAGGGTGGCAGGCTGATTTACTGAACGTAAATGGAAGATGGCACAAGAAACACTGAAAAACAAAACAAGACCAAAAGCAGAATATTCAAATGCAAAACCATAAAAGATCTCAACAGAAAAGGAAAACACAACAGTTCCCAAAGGACAAAATAAACCACGAAAAGAATAATACAATAGACTACAAAGACTAAAAGAAATCACAGAAAGTACAGACTCTACAAGTACTATGTAGCAGAGAAAAGTTTCAAATACGCCTTTTAGTTTTTCACCAGATGTTGATGATGTTTATATGATGATAGTACAAAAAGAGGCAACACTGTGGTGCAGTTGGTAGAGATGTGGCCTTTAAGTGAGAAGGTTGCTGGAGCGAATCTCAGCCCAGAGACCTTTCTGTGTGGAGTTTGCATGTTCTCCACATGGATTTTCTACAGTTACTCATTTCCTCCCACAGACCAAAAACATGCATGTTAGGCTGATTGGTGACTAAATTGTCCCTGAGTGAATGGTTGTTTGTCTCGTATGTCTCTACGTGTCCCTGTGATGGACTGGAGACCTGTCCAGCATGTACCCCACCTCTCACACAGTGATGGTTAGATATGGGCATCCGTGACCCAGAAAGGAAGAAGCAGGTAAAGATATGGATATTACAAAATATATACACATATTTGTATGTATGGATGGATTTATATAAATGTGTGTCTGTTACAAATATTTTACCCTAATTTAAAATTGCAATTATAACATCATAATGTTTTATCAACATGATTGCTCACTCAAAGCGGTCGACTCCTCAGATAAATAATGTTATTAACTTACTTTTATGTATATGAATGTTTCTGTTCAGTGCCCTGAGATAACTTCTGATGTGACTTGGCGCTTTATAAATAAACTGAATTGAACTGAACAAATGAAATGTTTGCTAGAAGGGGATTTCAAAACCATGCTGCATTATTTCTCTACAGTTTAGTGCAGCCTTTCATCTCTGCGCGCGGGCCTTTATTAACTCTGCACGAGCGACGACACACCAGAACCTTATGGAACTGGTTCTTGTTTCGTCCGGCTGTTGGTTCAATTGCATGTATACATAAAATAATCGAGCTTTTCGACAGAAACGAGCAGGAAGTAGAGGGACATCAACATTCACCACACCTAGCAACAGCGTTGTCAGGACGCAGGAAGGAACTTCTAGCTAGCTCTGCTAGCTTAGTTAGCCACGTCCGCTGCTAGCTCCGACCCTGGGCCACGGCAGCGCGCGCTGTCTGCGCAGATGTGCTTGGTCTTACCGATGTGTTTATCCTCGATGTGCACGATGAGCTCCGACAGGGAGTCGAAGTGAAGCCCGCAGCCGGCGAACCTGCAAGCGTTGGAGAAAAATGACACAGCCGCGATGCCCGTCATGATGGTCGCCGCTGCATTTAGAAAGATGAGGGGAGAACGGCGGGGCAGGCAGCGGCGACAGCAGCTGGAGCGGCTGAAGCAGCGCGCGACTCCTCGGAGCTGCGTCAAACCCAGCTGCTGCAGCGTCAGCAGCACCGGATGTAAGACTGCGAGACTTTCATTAGAAAAGCATAAACACTTGTGACACAATCTGCAACGGGTTGGTAACAAATCAGAAAGCCACATAAAGTCGTTAAAATCAATCAGCAGCAATAAAAGTTTCATCATTTACCATAATTATATTTAATTAAAATAATATTTTATTTGCCCCATAGCGGAAATGCACATTGCAGCATACAAATGAAATCAGGCTTTCCAGGTTTGGATAAGGATGGAAAAAGAAAGCAAAGTTTGGAAATAAATTTGTTTTAAACAAATTCTCATTGCATTTTAAGAGTTAAAAATCTAGCCTAAAAATGTTTATTCCAGTATCAAGCATAACATATGCACATAATGTACCTTATAATACATATTATTTTGGTATGGCAAAAACCACTCACCCAGCACACACACTTTTTGCCCGGCTACCCTCAGGCAGGAGGCTAGAGAGGGCTGGACTGAAGGACAGTACAGAGACACTAGTCATGACAGCACAAGAGCCGGCCCTCAGTACAAGAGCAATAGAGACTGGGGTCTACCACACCAGACAAGACCCAAGACGCAGGCTGTGGAAAGATGACCCTTTGACAGTCCAACACACAAAAGCAGGATGTAAGATCCAGGTGGGCAAAGCATACATGCAACATCTTAACCAAGAGGCTGGGATAGTGTAAGGAACATCTGTGCCAAGTATGGACTGGAGGTTCCACAGTCAACGTGAGAGATGCCACCAAGGGTGATGGAGAACAGATCCAGACTAACAGGTGATAGCTAACCAACCAGATATTGTGGTGACTGAATTGCTACAGGAGAAGGCAGTGGTGAAACCAATCTCAAGTGACTAACATCAGGAAAAAGGAGCACGAGAAGCTGGAGAAATACCAAGAGCTGAAAGAGGAAATACAGAAATTGTGAAGGGTCAAAGCATTATAGTCCCATTGATCATTGGAGCACTTGGTGCTGTGACCCTCAAACTGGACGAATGTCTAATAAATACCAGGAACAACCACAGAGTTTGAAATGAAGTGGATATTTCTGTTTCATTACCAAGTTTTAATTATTTTTCAACAGAAATATTGTTATACACTGTTATTATTATTCCCTAGTTTTATAACACGCAATAAGCTCTTATTGAAACTCTGGGTTCATTGTATTGTCTTAAGACATGTCCACATATAGAAGGGCATACCTGAAAATATTACTTGTAAAAAGTTTCAAAAGTCAAAGTTTCTTTATTTGTCATATGCACCACATGTGGTGTGGTGGAATGAAATTGTGGGTCCCAGTTACATCCAACAAAAGTACAAAATGTAACAGAAAAACAGTAATAAGATCTAAGATGTGAACTAAAAAAAAAAAGTTAAACTAAAAAATACGCTAAGCACAAAAAACAGTACGCCAAACAGCAACATGAACATGAGTCTGTGTGAGCAGATGAGCACGCACAAACACAGCAACATGCAACAAATCAGCAGCTTATGGTGTGATTTTTTTTTTTTTTCACAGTGATTATCCTGTTTGGGGATTCATGAGTCTAACAGCTTCAGGGTAAAAGCTGGTGGTTCTAAACTTAATGCTCCCTAACCTCTGCCTCCATCCTTTCTCTTAGTTTATAGTCTCTGGGTGGTGGACTTGGGGTGAAACCCTCCATACATTGTGAGGAGCTTTGGAGTCTTGATGTCAGGCTTTATCTCCTCCTTTGTCCTATTATACCAGCTGTGTATCTGATGACTGGCACTGTATATCTGCATATTTGTTGATGGCTTAGAGGCTTTGTGATGCATAAACACACAGTCTGCGTGTGTGTGTGTGTGTGTGTGTGTGTGTGTGTGTGTGTGTGTGTGTGTGTGTGTGTGTGTGTGTGTGGGAGGGGGGGGGGGTACACATCCATCCATCCATCCATTATCTTTACCCGTTTATTCCATTTTGGGTCACGGGGGTCACCGGTGCCCATGCCCAGCAATCACTGTGCGAGGGGCGGGGTACACCCTGGACGGGTCGCAAATCCATCACAGGGACACATAGAGACAAACGAGACAAACAACCATTCACTTTCTCACTCACACCTAGGGACAATTTAGAGTTACCAATCAGCCTAACATGCATGTTTTTGGTCTGTGGGAGGAAACCAGAGCACCCGGAGAAAATCCACGCATGCATGGAGAGAACATGCAAACTCCACCCAGAAAGGCCCCTGGACCGGGGTTTGAACCAAGGACCTGCTCGCTGAGAGGCAGCAGCTCTACCGGTTGCGCCACCGTGCTGCCGGGGTACACATATATTATATAATATATATGTTTAAAGAAAACATAAATATCAATAATATAACCTGAAAATAATTTAACTTTTAAAAGTATAATTACATAAGAAAAGACTGCAAACAGATCCTTTGAATAAACAATAACTTTGCAGTTGTGTAAAGAAAGGAAAATTCAATTGAAAACTCCACATGAAAATTATAACATATGTAGAAAATACTTAATTAAACATAAAAAAAAATCATAGTGTGCAGGGATAGATATACTGTACACAAAAGACAGAGTAAATAAAATGCCCAGAAAAACATCCATCTGCCCATCCAGAGCTTAAATGGTGGGTTCCGCAGGGGTCCATCCTGGGTCCCCTCCTATTCTTTCTATACCTGCTGCCACTTGGTGCTATTTTCCGGAAACACAACATACCGTTTCACTTCTACGCCGACAACTGTCAAATTGACTTCCCCCTAAGACACAATGGTACATGCTCTATTCAACCTCTGCTCGACTGCCTGGCTGACATCAGGGACTGGATGGTTTTAAACTTCTTAAGTTTCAATGAAAATAAGTCTGAAGTCATGTTGTTCCCTCCCAATGACACGATCACAAACCACTGCATCGACCTCTCCGCTCTAACCCTGTCAAAAAAACAAAGAGTCACTAATCTGGGAGTGATAATGGACCCTTCCCTGAAACTTAACAATTATGTAAACATGATCGTTAAATCATGCTTCTTCCAACTGAGGCGGCTGTCTAAACTGAAGCCCATATTGTCCAAAAATAACCTGGAGACAGTAATACATGCATTCATTACATCTAGGCTTGATTACTGCAATTCACTTCTGTTTGGTATCAGTCAGACCTCTATTGCACGACTACAACTGGTCCAGAATGCAGCAGCCCGATTTTTAACCAGTACAGGCAAAAGAGAGCACATTACACCAGTTTTGGCCTCCCTGCACTGGCTACCGGTTCACTTTCAAATCCAGTTCAAAATATTCCTGTATGTCTACAAATCGCTGAACAGTTCCCCCCCATCTCTCTGATCTGCTACAACCGTATGTCCCACCACGTTCCCCTGAGGTCAGCGGACCAGCTGCTCCTCACAGTTCCAGGAACTCGTCTTAAGTGCAGAGGTGACAGAGCCTTCTCTGTAGCAGGACCAAGACTTTGGAACGAGTTACCTCTGCTTGTCAAGACTGGCCCCCTCCCTCTTAGTTTTCAAATCCTGTTTAAAAACTCACTATTTAGTAGCTTTCAACACCAGAGGATCTGTGTTTTGAACCTGTATGCTTCACACTGGTTAGTCGTAATATTTATTATCTGCATCGTTTTTATGTCTAGATTTTTGATCTACTTCATTTTGTATATTGCTTCATGTGTTACCTGTTGTTCTGTCTGTACAGCACTTTGGTTGGTCTTGTAGCTGTTTTAAGTGCTCTATAAATAAATTGGTATGGTATGGTATCCATCCATTTTTTTCCTCTGCTTTTCCATACATGGTTGCGGGGCAGCTGGTGTCTATATCTCCAGCAGTCATTGTGCGAGAGACAGGGTTCAACCTTGACAGGCTGCACATCACAAGCCCAGAAACAAAGAGTGAAATATGAACACAGGTGGCCAACTTTGAAACCAGAAAACTTCTTGAAGTAAATTTGACGAGGCCTGCCACATTCAAGGATTCAAGGTTCTTTATTTGTCATTCACACCACATGTATGTGGTGGAACGAAACTGTGTACACAGGGTCCCAGTTACATCCAACAAAACTATTAAAATGTAAAAGAAAAACAGTAATAAGTTCTAAGATATGAAAAACATTAATAAAAATACACTAAGCGCTAGTAGCATAAAAAAAATATGCCGAACAGCAGCACAAACATGTGTCTGTGTGAGCAGATGAGCACAAATAACACAGCAACATGAAACAGATCAGCAGCAACATGAAACAGATCAGCAGCACCATGATGTGATTTTTCACAGTAATTATCCTAGTTAGAGATTCATGAGTCTAACAGCTTCAGGGCAGAAGCTGTTCCTCAGTCTAGTGGTTCTACACTTAATGCTCCAATGCTACGGCCCTTTAAACTTTTTTTATTTGATTTTACTGTGTTCTGAGCCAGAACTGTGGCTGTAGAGCTGTTGCCTCTCAACAAGAAGGCTGCCAAATCAAATCCCTGTCGGGGGACCTTTCTGGTTGGAGTTTGCATGTTCTCTCTGTGCATGTGTGGGTTTTCTACAGGTACTCCATTTGTCTCCCACAGACCAAAAACATGCATGTTATGTAACGAGTCTGTATGGATCGGCACAACACCTGACTCAGGACAACATTAAAATAAAAGGTTTTATTTTATTAAAGGCGTTCGTCTGAAGGATCTGAGCCTCAGTTCTGGTCCAATCTATGAAGACAGACAGGTTAGTGACTGCAAAAAGGTTCTGGGAGCTGAGAGGTGGTGTGCACGTCACTAACCTTCTGTGGCAGGAGCAGAGCTGAGACAGAGAACGTTGGAGGGCTGGGCAGGAAACAGAATCCAGGGACGTAGCAGGGGTCGAGAGCCAGGAGCGTGTAAGCTGCAGGCGTGGTATCCAGACAAGGGCAAGACAAGGCGAGGAGTCAAGAACAAAGCTGTGGTCATAAACAAAGAAACTGTGGACGAGGAATGCTGGATAATTTACTTGCTGTGAGGCTTTCAATA